TCAAACTAGTTTCATAAACATTACTATTCAGTTCAGCTGAAAGCCCACTACAGTCACCAGTCTCAATTTAGAAGAGCACCTTTAGGATGTGGTGGATTGGGAGACTGGCATCGTGGATGTGCAGCCAACAGATCTGCAACAACTGAATGATGGTATCATGATAGCATGGCCCAAATTCTCTGAGAAAGGTTTTAAGCATGTTGTTGAATCTGTGCCACAAATACTTAAGGCACTTCTGAAGCCCAAAGGGGTCAAACCTAGTACTAGCAGTGATCACTGTTACAGGGAAAAGCCACAATTAAAAGGACTTATACATAAAGCACAGAAAACATAAATATTAGCATCTACTTGCAAAAAATATTACCATCTTTGTCTGTGTGTACCATAGATGTAAATGAATGTGCCCACTGGAACCATGGCTGCTCACTTGGTTGTGAGAACATTCCTGGATCTTATTTCTGTACCTGTCCTAAAGGATATGCCCTCTTACCAGACAGGAAAACATGCCAAGGTAAAGTATAACCATGTTTATAATATCAATATAGCTTTGTCATGTGTTTTACAGTGAAAATAGAAAATAACAAGTAAAATGTATATTCAAGATCTGAACATGACTAAAGCTTGGGTTGCAGATCTTCTTTGTGCTGCTGTCAAAGGTGGCATTTATCTACCAGATACCACTTTGACCCTAGAAGGCTTGAGGGTCACAGGCCTCAAGACAGACTAGATATATGTGAGCTGACAATTGTGTGTTAGGTCACTTGGGTCAAAACAAAACACTGACACTTTGTCCAACTTCTAAACATTTAAGAGTACTGAGACGATCAGGTAGAACAAAGGATATCACGATAACGCAAGTTATTTTTGGCTTTCAGCTAAAAGTTCATTTGTCAAGGTTATTATTTAGTTAAATAAACTTGGATTTTATTTTATTACATTTTATTTTTACTTGTATGTAATTTTGACTTAAATTTGATGATTTTTGACATTTTTTCAAACATTTATAGTTTTTGTTTTTTTAATTTCAAGATATAGTAAAACTTT